CAATAATTTTTAAACAGTCAACTGCTGCTATGTCCCCATGAATAAGACCCACAAACTAGACAATACAACACTTTATCAAAACTCCTCTGGAGAATAAAGACAAGTTTTCCAAATTTTCTTCAAGTAGTTCATTGCGATATGCCACAAACCTGAAGTTAAGAACCTTTGTTTCAAATAACATGACCCTGAGTCAAAGAATTTACAGTAGACTCTCAGTTAACAGGCACCACGATGGGGATTGGTCGATGCCAGATAAATGCAGTTTCTGGTTGCATGATAATTACTATTAAAAATAAGCCTAACTAATACTATACCCCATGCCATACCATAAACTCTGTATTGACTTGATATTAAAATGCAGTTTCTGTTTGCTTGATATTAAACTGCATAAGCAGACACAGCAAGTCTTAGGATCAAGCCTTTGAATTAGACTCTTAAGTAATTATAAGCTTATGCATGGTACAGAAAAAGTTGATAGAGAGTTCTCCTTTTTTCTTTCTCTCATAAAGAACAGAACCCAAGGTCATCCAATTAAGCTGAAGATTCAAGACAGAAAAAAGGAAGTGTTTTGTCACTTAGCAAGTAGCTCAACTACGGCGTTCACTTCCACAAGACAGAGTAATGGTCATCAACCGAGGCAGATTTAGAAGGGGATTAGAAATATTCATGAAGGATAAGACTACTGGTGCCTGTCCAGGATCAGATGCAACATGTCTCACTGTAGCAGTTGCTGGGGAACAACAATGGGAAGGGGTCACAGTTTTCATGTCCTGCTTTCTGTTCTCCCACAGACATGTGAGCCCTCCCACAGCCATCAGACAGAATGCTGGACTAGTTAGGCCTTTGGTTTCATTCAGGAGGTTGTTTTCATGCGTTCAGCTGGAAGCATATGCATTCCAAAACTGCCTTGTTCAATACACTGTTTAGAATTACGTTTGCAAATAATTTTGCCAACTATCTGCCCACCTGCCCCAACATTAATTTCCCCATCCCGCCACACACTCACCTCACCATAGTATTTCAATTACCCATCCCAACCCATGAGCAATTCCTGTGAGCAAGCAAGAGGAGCGCACTTCTGAAATTCTAGCTTTTCATTATCCCTGGAGACCAGTGCTGGAAAGCTAAAAAGCTAGCTTTCACTTTCACCATCACAGCTATGTCCAGTATGTATTATATCATCTTACTAAACCTAGATGTAACGTGGATCTGTTTTGCCTTCTCCAGCAGTGTGTGCTCTTCCTCAGTTCACTTGTTTGATCACCTGTCACAAATGTATGAATGTGGTCACTGTGACCTGGATGGAGGGTGGCTGATGTACACCACCACAACAGAGGATTGAACTAGAAGGCCTTGTCCTTGTATGTCATTGGGAGATTTTACTTCCTATGCAGCACACTACAATCTGTTTGTCAGAAGCCTGTCTTAAAACAGGTTGGCTCCATTAATCTGCTAGATGTAGCCAACTGCCAGTCTTTTCAATTTCATTAGGAAGACTACATTTCACAAGTTTAATTCTACTGTGATCACTGCAGTTTAGGTAAATTCTCCTCATCTGCTCACATCTTCATCCTTAATATAAGGCAACTGTACAGCCATATTGTCATTTGCTAGTTAGGTGGAACACAATCGCAGTAACCAACCAAGAAAGAGAACTTGGGGTTGTGGTGAACAGTTCAGTAAAAATATTGATCCAGTGTTAGGCTGTCATGAAGAAAGCAAATTTAATGTTCAAAAACAAAACTGCCAATATCACAACATCTTTATTTAATTCCATGGTGTGGATATACTTACAATATTGTGTCTAGTCACTGCACTGAGAAAAGGATATCATAGAGCTGGAAAAGGTACAGGAAAGGGAAACCAAAACTATCAGAGCACTGCAGCAATTCCCCTATGCAGAAAGGTTACAATATTTGGGGCAATTTGGTTCTGAAAAAGAGGAGTGGGGGAGACATGACAGGGGTAGCTAAGGTTGTACATGGAAATGGATAGGAAGATATTTTCCCCCTCTCATATAATACTAGAGCCTAGTGTTATCCCATGAAACAGAACAGTAAGACATTTGGAGACAGACAAAAAGATGTTACTTCCTCACACAATGTATTCTTTAAAAGCTATGGATTTTGCTACCACAAAATGGCTACCATCTCGGATAGCTTTAAAAAAGGGATTGGATAAATTAATGGAGGATAAGGTTATCATTTGCTACGAGTCATGAAGGCTGTATATGACCTCTGGTATCAGAGGCAATACTGGTTTCTGGGAAACAACAGTGGGGACAGGCTGATGATACCGTATCTGGTTAATGGCTTCCTCATTGGGACATCTGGTTGGCTGCTGTAGGAAACAGCATAATGGAATAGGATTTGCCCTGCTCCAGAATGGATCTTCTTAAATTGTTTAATGCATCCATTCATCGTATATTTTATTATGAAATCACACAGTTGGAAGGTTTTTGACTTCAATTTCTTGTAAGAGCAGGATTCTTAGCTTCACAAATAGGGACTCTCTCTAAAACTGAATGTCAGAATACTTATAACACTATACAAGGCTATACAAGAACAGGATGAAATATACTGTAAACAAGCTGTTCTCAATCAAAAGACCATGAGACTAATCCAGAACATACTCAGTGCCAAAGACAACAGCTGATCCCGGTGCCACCCACTGCTCTGTACAGCTAGACCAATACATCTGGTACAGCTAATTCCCAACAAAGTCAACATTTATTGATGTGTGAGCCTTTCTGTCCTATATACCAATTCTGAATGTGCAAAGTACCTCACAATCTTCATTTATCAATCTTTATTTATCAATCTTTATAGCAATCTTGTCTGTCCTCATCACAATTCTCATTTCACAAATGGGGAACTGAGGCCAAGAGATTAAACCTTATCGAAGGAAGCCCACCAGGAGCATGGCTAAATTAGATTTTGAACCCAAATCTTTCTGAGGGCTGGCCCCTTCAAGGACCCACCACAACCATTTTTGCATCACACTTTAAGAACAAAATAGCTCATCTTCCATGGCAAACCTGATGCTGTCAGCCCAGTGCCAGTTGAAGTGCAGAACACCACCATCTGCCTGATTTTGTGGAATCAATTTCAGTTGCTACAGCCTTGATACAAACACAGTGCTTGCAGCAATGTGGCTCACCACACAACCTCAACCCTTGCCTTTCTTAGCTGATAAAAGCAAGCTAACAGTTTGACCAGATGGATCCAAGGAGGAATAAATACATCTTTGCCTGAACTGTTGGATCCTGCTATCCTTAAGGATCCTTAAGGATAATGACCACTCCTGAAAATACCCACTCTGGTCGTAACGGTATTTGGTAACTGCCACCTAGTCACAAATGCCCCTTTCTTAGGAGAAGTATCTGAGAGGGTTGCAGCAGAACAATCATAGACATTTTTGAAGAGTCTTGTTTACCCAGTCTGATTATTTTGACCTGGTTATGGGATGAAATCACCCTCTGTCACCCTTTAGGACAAGAGAAGTGTGACCCAGCTTTTCATACCATCAATCATGGTATCCTCCTGGATCAGCTCTAATGGATGAGCACGGAAAGCACTGTGCTATAACAACTCGAGTCATATTTGTGGGATCAATTTTAGAAATTGAGTGACTTGGTAATAAAACTGTGAGGTTCCACAGGATACCAGTCTGTCCCCAGTGATTTCTATGAAGCCACTCGGAGAGGTCACAATGGGATATGGAACTAAGCATCATCAATATGCTGATAAAATACCACCATTTCCCTATGACATCTGAATCAGATGAAGCTGTGCAAGGCTTGAATCAGAGCCTAGATCCAGTGATGGGCTGGATGACAGCCAATAAACTAAAGCTGAATTCTTGCAGAACCACCACCCTGTGGGCTCACTGCCTGTTCTGGATGGGATTGCACTCCCTTTGAAAGATCAATCTTGTAGTCTAGGAGTACCCCTACATCCATCATTATCCCTGGAGTTCCGAGCGACCACAGAAGCTTGCAGTGCCTTTTACCAGCTTTGACTGGTTCATCAGCTATGGCCACTCCTGGAAAGGGATAGCTTAGCCATAGTGGTAGTGAATTACTGCAATGCACAAGCAAATTACTGCAATGCACTTTATGTGGAGCTATCCTTAGGGCTGGTCCAGAAGGTGGAACAGCACAGAATGCAGCAACTCAGCTGTTGCCTGACCTCCCCCTTTTTGGCATGCATCTCCTCTGTTGAGGGAAATGCACTTGCTGCCAATTTGCTACTGAGCCATGTTTAAGGTTTTGCTGATAGTGTATAGCCCTAAACAACCTGGGTCCAGGAAACCTGAGAGAACACCTTCTCCATATCCACTTGCCCAGTCATTGAGGTTGTCATTACATAACATGCTCCCAAGGACCTGCAGGGACCCTTGACCCGACTGGACTCCACCTGAAGCAGAACCTTCAGTGTGGTGACTCCATTTTTGTGTTGCCTCTGGAGGTCAGGTAAGTACAAACACTGCATTTTTCTTGGCACCTGCTGAAAACATTTTTTATTTCAAGCAGCATTCCTTAATTGATTAGCCATGGTTTTCACTGATACTGTTTTTTGTGTTTAATCTTCTACTGTGGTGCTTTATTTTCGCCTCTTTTACTGTTCACACCTACACCTTCAGAATCTGTTGTAAATGAATAAGACCCATATGCAATCAGTGTACCACAATGGCCAAATACATGAATAGTTATGCAAATAGTTGTAAAGCTACCCAAAAAAGGAAATTAGCCAGTCCCATTTTATAAGGAGAGATTTTAAAAGCAACACAGAGTGACCAGATGACAGCTGTGCAGAATATTAATGTCAAAGCCCCAGGAACTGCAACACCAAACTCCCTTGTTCTGTCCATTCTCTAGTAGGGAAAAAACCTACATGACCAAAAGCAAAACAGTGTCAATTCTGAAAAAAAAATCTTCATGTAAAACCAAAGGATGAAGAATCAATAGGAAGAGGAAACGTTGTTATTTTAACACTTACCAAAACATTGATGTTCTCCTTCTGACTCAGCAATGACCGTACCTCCTCTATGTCACGGTTAAAGATGGCTTGGACCAGAGGAGGCTATAAAGAAGGGGGGAAAGAACCACTGTAAAATCAGCAGGATGGGGAATGGAATGAGCCATTATTATTATAATCCAACATGCATCAGAATAGTTACGGGTCAGTAAGCTGCACTGACCACTAGTTTCAATGACAGAATGTGTCAAAATATTTTTTCCAGAATTTCAAGATATCTTGACTTAAGAACCCTGAATACAGGATATGACAAATTCAGCTTAGGGGTTTTAGATATGTAAAGACATAGAATAAGCCTGGAAAGCACACACACTGTAACTATACTCTCTCCTTGAAAGGCAGATTTAACAAGAGTTGCCACAGCAAATAAGGAGATTTTCAAGGACATGGTGCAAAAGAGCTAAATTAAGTCCAAGACTAGTTTGGACAACACACCACAGTGAGCCACAGATACCAAGATGCATCTGCAGCCCCTTCCTCAGGGTTATTGTGTTGTGGAAACTTAGCAAATGTGGCTATATGAGAGTTAAACATCCCTTATATGACCCTGAAACAGACCATGAATTGCAGGAGGGCTATTTAATCCTTGAGAGGTCCGCCGGGCGCCGTCGTTATTTGTTCTTCGGGGCCAGGCGAAGACCTTTTTATTTAAGCGTCATTTTAATTGTTAACAGCATTTGCTTGTTTATCTGGCCAGGGCGACTTCTTTTATATTGTTATTTATTTTAAATTGTTAGTTTTATATTGTTATTTTTGTATTATATTATGTTGTGAGCTGCCCCGAGGCTTCGGCGAATGGGGCGGCATAGAAATGTTTTAATTAATTAATTAATTAATTAATTAATAAACAAACAAACTTTCAAGCAAGGACAGAATATTCAAAATGGCAGCTGCACATGCTCCATAGCTTCACCGTGAATTATGATGTCATCTTAATAGCTCCACAGTTTCTGGTGGCTTTTGATATCCTACAACTCTGAAGGAATCTGTTTCTGTTTTTTTTAATGTAATTATGATAAACAATTATTCTCAGACAGAAAAAACTGACCTCAATAATCCAAGTGCGCATTAAGCTAATTATTAATTTTACCATTCCAAGCAATGTGCCACAATTCTTCAGATTACTCAGAGTGACCACACCACCAACACTCAAAGAGAGGGGGGAAATAGAGACATTTAGCTACATTTCCAAAGCTTGCCTTGCACTGATAATTGAGACAAAAACAGAAAAGTATGCTGGATCTTCAGGCCATTTTATTTGCACACAGAGACAGGAGACCACAAAATTTGGTAAGCCATTATTTGTGGTTGTCATTCATCCCTCCCCTCTCCTGAGTCCTCTGCACAAAAGACTTGGTGAGAGAGACAACTATACATCACTAGGTCAGGATGGTTTCAATATTCCAAACCTATTAAAGTCCCAAAAAGAAGCCTACAGATACATGTAAGTTGATACCAGGCATCATTTATTTAATTTAGCATCCAGTGAAGAGAATCCCTTCCCTCTTGTTTTTTGCCACACTATTATCAACTTGATGCCCGGGGACTAGGTGCATCAGTCCACACAACTCATGGCATGTGAGTACCTGATTCTGTGAAGCACAAGCAGCCTGCCCACCAGAAAGCTAGAAGCCCTTTGCCCTAATACTGAGTTTGTGGAGCCCAGGACAGGTTTGCAGATGGACACTGTTTACTAGGCAGAACAGGAAATATCATTTATATGACATACCTGTGCCACCTCCCGCAAGCACTCTACACTACTGTTGGTACAAAAATTATTGCAGGATTAACCATATTGCCTGCTCTGCCCTATTTCTACACCTACCCCTTTTGCTCCAACTCGGCAGTTTTCCTCCAGAAGCAGAAGTGTCTGTGTTGACGGTGAAAGGAAGGCTTTCTATTCTTTGTGGCAATCCACATTTAACACCTATGCAGAGCAGAGGGTATCAGGGGATGTGCAAGTGCACAAGAGTTTGTGGCTGTTTTTGTGTAGAACAGTTGGCTATCACATTTGTTTTTGGCTTCTCATGGTAGAAGGCTTAAAAGAATGTACAGCAGCCTGAGGTCCAGGTCCAGTTTCTTTTCTAATCCATTGAAAATGTCTGAACAGGTCCATTTAATAAGCATAACTTGGTTTCATATATATTCAGATGGTCCTTGGGGGCAACTTTGTAAAATACATGGCATAAGTATTTAAGGATAGGATAAAGAATACAGTAGTTCTTGGAGGTTTCATCAGTACTCAGTGGCTATACCTAAATTTGTTTCTTCATTTCAGCAAGCTGTTACTCTTAAGATTTTGGGAACCCTTTATTTCTGTAAGGTGTAACAAATATGGTACAACATCCAAGTATCTTATATTTTTAAATTCCTTGCATTGACATTGTTCACACATAGCAATCAATAGTTTAACGAACCTATGAGGTGTCATGCACAAGTGGAAGAGGGTCTGATACTTCCTGTGTGCCCCCCACTTCTACAACTTACAATTCAACAACTTACAATTGGATCTTTTATAGATTGTTGAACATGGTGCACAAAACCTGTTAACCTGTGGTCTGTTGCTGTGTTAACACTTGGGTCATTTTGCCTCTAAACAACCCAGCACTCCAAACAGGTCCAACTCAACTTATGCATGAGTTGAGTGTAGGTTGCTGAGTAAACAAAGATGTAGACATTTGGGAGACAGCACAGTTGCTTTCTCTCACCCTTTCTCAACTGTCCATGGAGGTATTTTTATAAACAGAGGACTGTCATCTGCAAACAGCCCCACTGATTAGAATTAATTGAATTTGCACAAAAGGGGAAAGTATCTACACCCAGTTTTTCTTTTTTTAGATTTACCACTTACTCTTTCATAAAATCAAATTTGGACAATATTTTTTCTCACAAAAATTCAGTTTAAAAAGATCACACTATTTTCATTCTGCAGATCAGAAAGGAGGCTACACAGAGATCCTTTGGGTGAGATGCAACTTGGACCCAGGCTTAAATCTGAGACACTAGTTCTTGAACTATTCTAGTATCTTGATACAACATGGAAAAGCATTATGTATACCTTCTAAAACCTTAAGCCTGTCTCTACACACCTCCTTCTCAACACCCTCTCCTTGATCTCTAAGCTTGTACAATTCACAAAGATGGCCTAGAGATTAAAGATCTTCTCTAATTACTGAGAGTAAAGGACACTGATCTAAGCAGACAATGCCTGTTTAATAAATTGTCAACAGCTATACCTTTTAACATCACCTAACCCTGCTCCAACACACTAACCCTGCTCCAAGACAATATACTGCTGCTTATTTCTCTGTACAGTGATCAGAATGTAAATTCATTTTGACTGCATAACTCTACCAAGCCTTTCCTTATGCATGCACAACACTCAACACACAAGGCTTGCAAGACTTAACTCTTTATCATTTATAGCTTTGGTGTGCAAGGCATACAGTAACTAGAAATGTAATCAAAATATACTAATAAGACAGGCCCCTTTCTTTTCTTGCCACAGCTCTAAACTGCAATCCCATGAGAGGACAGAAAATACAGCAGAGAGCTGTAACAAAAGCACCCATGGCCCTCCTACATGCACAGCACAGGTCCATCTGCTCATTTCATCTTCCAGAGGAAAACCCTCAGCCTCTGCATCTCTTTCCAGAGAAGCCTTTCAGCCCAGTTTAACCCCAGGGTTACTGCCCTCCACCAACTGCTTGGCTGAAGCAGCAAAAGGAAGGAGGCAGAAAAGGGAAGGAATGAGTCATCCACATGGAATGCAGTGGACTCAGCATCCCTACTTTAAAGAGATCATTCCTAGACAACCATTATGGCCTACAAGCTAGTGTTGTGCAGCTCCTTGAGCTGGCAAATGCTTTGGTTAAAAAATCCAAATTAAGTTTGTGTGATCTACCAGATACTTTAGTATTGGACTTGGAAAACTTAATGGCAGCTTTCCATCTGAGGCTGGAAAAATATTTCAAAATTTCAGGGTTTGTTTGTTTTTTTTTTAAGGCAACCAGAATGGGTCTGGAAAAAATAATCTCAGAACATATTTTCTAGCCCAGAATACCAGAAGCCACTAATTTTTCTGACCCTGAATATTACTGATTTATTTCATAGGATTTCCATGAAGATAAATGAGAATTATTGCGATGCACTTTGCAATTAAATGTGCTATGGAGCAGATTATTAATCATATATACATGTCAGTTCCTGGCTTTCAGCTGCATGAAATGGTGGCTGCAGTGCATCTGTTGTACATCCAGCATGTAAGTCCCAGTCAATAGCTATGCAAGAATATTAGAACTATAAAGGAAGAAGCCCATCATTCTGTAGGCCAAGAACAGTTAAACAGTTAAATCCTACAAATCCTTGGGATTACAACTTCCACAATCAGTTACCATTTGCCATGAAGGGTGGGATTGATGGGAATTGTAATCCAAAACATCTGATGGCCACAAAGTTGCCTCCCTTTAGACAAAAAAGGGATCAGAGACATTGACAGACAAGCAGCCCTGTTGTTCCTCTACCCAGTGGCAACCTGAACAATGGATAACAGAGGCAGCCCTCCACTCATCCTAGCGATAAACCTACAAAGCATTTTACCAGGATTAATACTAAAGCATAGCTTTACCAAACAGAACTTAAAATGTAGGCACTGCAATTAACTTGCATTGACCAAGAAATGAAAATGCTATTCAAAGGAGTTAATTTTTTTTCCTCAAAGTGTGGTAATATTGAAAGAATGAATGCTTGTGAGGTGCCTGGAAGAGAAAACTGAACTTCGTGTACCCTAACTACAAGTTTATTCATGCAGGCAATAACTACCTTCTACATTAAGAAAGCTATGCCATAGGCATACCTAATCACAGCCCTTGAGAATTTCATTTATATCCTATAAGTACATAGTGGATTGAATGTAACGCTGCACTGTTTCCAAGATCAAGGAAATACAACCAGAGTAAGGAGTGGTAAACTGCCAACAAATCTTACCATCTTCAAAGAAACAAAGGAGAAACTCATCAAATATTTCCAGCTAAATACACAGAATGGAAATCAGATACTACAGTATTCTGTTGGGAAACTATGGATACATAACCCCAAACTCTATGCTAAGTGAAAATGAAACATAGATTTCACAGAAGGGGCAAAGACAAAATGTAGGCAGGAAATGAGGCAGAAAGGCAAAAAGGGAAGGCAGTACTAAAAGAATGCAAGATGTGTAAGATGCAAAAAAGCAATGGTTGAGAGAATAATCACAATTCTCCACTTTGCAAATGCAGATTTGTATATGCAAGCAAAAATAGAAAAGGCCATCAAAGAAACTGCTTGTCCATTTTGGCTGTCACAATGCAGCTAGAGATGAGGTCTTACAAGATATTCACTCATCAGGAATTGTTATCTACCCTGGACCAGTAGCTTAACTTCACCACTCTTATACTGAGCCTATTCCTTCTTTTGGAAGGAATAGGCTTCAACCATCACCTGATACTTTGATGTGAGTAAAGAACCAGGCCATATGAAAACAAAGGAGAAGAAGAAAAAGATTTCACTGAAACCTGGGATCAGAAAGAGCAAAATGTACTTATAGAAAGGGAAGTGGACTATGGAAAAAAAAAAAGAAGCATTACTAGATAAAAATCCACAACCTGACCGAGCTCCAACACTTTTAAGAACTTAAAGAGAATTTTTTTCAGATGCAAATTTTCCTTTTGCCATAGTACTTTCATGGGAGAAATCACTCCGGTGAAATTCACCTTTCTGCGCTATTCCTAGAGAAGCTCTCGGGCTCTGAACCTAGCACCACTAGGGAGAAATCTTTCGGGGGGTGGCGCTCAGAAAACTGAAAAGGCACGATAGGATGACATGAGATAAACACGGAAAGCCATGGGAGAGATGAGTTTGCAGGTGGAAATGCAGAATAAAAGCAAAGAGACAGAGATAGATATTATGGGAAAAGGGAAGGAAATGGAGCCGTGGCGGAGACGCGTCGGGAACAGAGCAACAAGAGCGCCTTCTTCTTAGGCGGGAAAGAGACTGCGCTGAACCCGAGTGCCGCCGGCCTGCTTCGGATGTCGGCAGCATCTGAGGCAGGCCCACCTCTTCTCCCTTCTCCTGCCTCCCCTTGCTTCCCACGCTACGGCTGGGTCTCGGGGCACCCTCCCCACGCGCCCAAGACAGAGCCAGGCTATTCCCGCCGAACGAGGTGGGCGGCTCCGCACAAGGCCGCGCATCCCCAGGCTGGCGTAGCGGGCGCGGCCGGGCGGGGGAGGGAGGAGGCCGGAGCTGGGTGTTTGGGTGGGGGGGCAAAAGGAAGGCGGAAGCAGCGCCTTCTCCCCGCTCCGCCGTACCTGGTCCGTGATGCTGAGAATCCCCATCTCCGGGCGGGGCCGCCCCCCCTCACTCAGCAGCGCCGCCGCCTCCTCCGAGCTCCCGGCATCGATCGGGCTTCAGCCGCCGCAGCACCCTCCGGCTGCTGTGGGGCGGGCGGGAGGAACTGAGCCCGCCCACCGGAGGGAGGAAGGAAAGCAGGCCGGCCGAGGCAGCCGGGTCCACTCGATGTAGCGACCCCTGCCGGGGAGGCCCTGCCACAGCGGCCCGCCCAGCCTCGGGGGACGCGCGCGGGGAGCTCGCCGAGCACATGTCGGAGACGTCCCCCAAGGGCCGCCCTCCGCGGCTGCCAGCACCGCGCTCTGCGGGCAGCTCGAAGAAAGAAGGGAGCGCGCCAACGGGGCGCGGGGGGGAGGTCGGGGCCTGCGGCGCTCGCGCCACATCGCGGCGGGCCTTGCGGAGCTCGGCGCCTTCAGCTCCGCCTCGCTGTTTCTCTTACGCAAGGGAGCAGGCCCCGGAGGAGGTCGGACGCGGCGGCAATCGAGGGGGGCAGCGGCGTGGCTGAAGCGCTCGAGGCCATTCTGGGTGCGGAAGACAGGAGGGATTGCTGCTGCATTCATGAATGCGCACTATAGACGGCCGCGTGTGTTCGATGCCCGAGCTGAAAATGTCCCCGCAGTGGTTAGCGCCATTACCGGCTTGAGGTTTTTGCAGGTTTTCCCAGAAGTTCTTCGCTGTGTTGAATCCAAGTGAAGGTTTACTCCTGAGTGGACGTTGTAGGCCTACAGGCGATATTTATAAAACGGTGTATAAAATGCATTAAAAGCTAAGTGTATCATTGAAATAAGTAAATATCATTCCTGCTTATACTGGCCCACAATCATAAAAAGGTATTACGTGCGTTGTTTCTTGGAAGTGCTTAGGAAGGTAACCATTTTGCACTTCGTCTGTGAGAAAGAGTAAGACTAACAGCCTGTTATACCCCTGCAGAACTCCAAGGAATTTACTTCTCAACAGACACATAATTGTGCTGTGACTTTTATAATTACTTAAAAACAAGTCTTCTGTGGGGCTGTTTTTGTAGTCTGATGTTGTTTTAGCAATGTGCTTGACTCAATTTCTACACAGATTCTACAAAAATATAAGTCTGCAGGAAGATATGAAAGATACCTATAGCTGCATAGCACAGCTACAACAGACCTAGAAATGACTACAACATCCAGATTTCTGGGATCATCCGGTCATAGAGGCCTTATTAGTAGTAGTGTAACTGCTGTAACTTAATTTTAGGCATGTGACCCTCCCTGAAATTTCATGTGCTCATTTACATATGCACTGTCGCTTTCTGAAGAACACTCTCTCCTATTTGTTAAAAAGTATGCATGGACAGCATAGAGAAGGGCATTTGATTTCAGGAAATCCAAGGGGATCTGAAGCTTTGGAGATCAGCAGAGCCCCATAAGTTTGTTTCAGCAGGTGCCCATGAATAGCAGGTGGGGCGGAGGGTGATGGCTCTCCAGGAACCTGGTATTAATGGGCCAACCCCTTGCACGGCTCCTGCATGGCAGAATCCTTGAGAGGCATTTAAACAGGAAGACATATAAGAAATGTTGGGGTAGCTCCAGCCTGTGGATGTTTGTTCATACATGATGTCTGATTCCTGCTCCAGGATATTATCACAAAGCTGCACACTTCCCTGGCAATATGTCCCAATGAATTATGGGTTGTTGTAAACTGTCCAGAGAAGCTTTGGTTGTGGGGTGATGGATGAGGATGAGGATGAGTGGGTGCTTCCATTCACAGGGCACCTAGACTTACCAGTCAAAACACACTGTGTGACTGTTCCATCTTTTCCTCCTTCACAGATCTTTCGTGGGTGGAAAAGGCAGAACTAGTTATGGCAAAGCACAAGAAATACAAGATTCAAACATCATCTGCACAATTTCATGAATGAAGCAGGCCAACTGCATGATTAATGCTTCTTCTAGATCTGTGATATGTCTCACTGAGTGCTGAGAATTACAAGCAGTCTGGTGCAGTTTACTTAGAAGCAACCCCTACTGGGTTCAATAAGACTTATTTTCAAGGGTTACATTATTAAACTGCAATCCTATACCAATTTACCAGGGAGAAGTTCTGCTAAACTCAGTGGGGCTCACTTGTGAGTATACAGGAATAGGATTTCACCCTTAATCTAACATCAGGATTATCATTTGCTGACTCAGGCTCAGCACAGTCTTAACTATGCAGAGAGTTGAGGGACCCTTATAATAGTTTGCTTAACATAGACATGCAGTTAGCAATAGCCACTGGCAGGCAAATATTTTGAGTATTGCCTAAATATTTTTTTGCTGATATCTCTTAAAAATGCCCATATATGCCCTCCCGCCCCTTGAGATCAGCAGGAGAGGCCCTTCTCCAGGAACCCTCCGTGAAGGCTATTAGGAGGGTTAGTACTCGGAGGAGGGCTTTCTCTGCAGTGGCGCCCAATCTATGGAATGCGCTTCCCAGAGAGGTCCACCTGGCACAGTCGTTATTTGTTTTTCGGCACCAGGCGAAGACCTTTTTATTCAAACGCTATTTTAATTGTTAATATTATTTATTTTATTTTTTGGGCCAGGTCGACTCATATTGTTTTATACTGTTCGTATTTATTATTGTGAGCCGCCTCGAGGCTTCGGCGAATGGGACGGCATAGAAGCCTTCTAAAAATATATATGTATAGGCCTCCACTCAAGATGTCTTTCATTATTTGTTCAATATTACATTTCATATTTAATCGAGATTTAAGTTGAAGCACACTGAGTTGCTGTCTTTGTTCTTTCATAAGGTCGGGATCAGGCTATTTCACATCATATTAAAAACATTGCAGAATATCTTATTTCCTTTCACATTTCACTTGGCATCTTGGAGGAGACTCATTTTCTTTTTTTCAAGATCAGATTATTTGTATTTGTTTTTTGTTTGGATAATTATTTTTACCACAGTTGTCTCCTTACTATAGACTTGATGAGACTCTGATTTAGTTTAACACATTTTTCTACACACTTGAAACCTGTAGTTATATGCAAAATACTTCAAAGTTAGCATGTAAGCTGTCAAGAATTATATGAAGCCCAGACAAATTACTGTTTCAAAAGAACAAGAGCTATTAAAGGATTGCCCATATCTTTAATTGCAATCCAGTCCTTCACATCTGCAAAAGAAACAGATTAGTCAGTCCATTAATAAGAGCTAGCATGTATTCATCCCAAAATCATAATCTATCACTAGTCCAGTCTTAAGTTCTGCCTTCTTTTAATGAAACAATTAACATTCCATGACAAAGGTATGGGTAGCTGCTTTACAGCTATATTTATATGGAAGTTTGCCACAAAATTTTTGAGGCCCAGTAGAGGGCAGTATCTACTTTTAACATGCTTTTAGATGTCACTGAAATGGGCCCTTCAATAACCAGTAGATTTATGGTTGCCAACATTTTGATCCACTTCTGCTATTCTGCCTTTAATACGCAGAACAGCATTAAATATGTAGACACAAACAGATGTTGATACTTATCACCATGCTGTGAGAAGCTCTGTCTGCTGATTTTTGAAAATTAAACCATTGTTAAAGGCTTTGCATCAACTCTTTATCAACTGGGTTAGATTAAAGAAGGTACTTTGGGAAAAGTAAGTAAGGAGGGGAACTATAGCACTGATTGCTATTTAATATATACGGAGCTCTCTCTGAGCCATTTCACTGTATAGCTGTGATATGACTGTGAGGCCTGCTTTTGGAGATGGGGATTTTTGGAAGCACAGAGGTTCTTAAGAGATGTCAATGCAAAGAAGGGCCACATTTATTTTAAACATTGATCAACTGCCTTTTGACCATGACAGTGAGCTATACCTCAGATGTGAACATGAAATGACATGGTAAAACCAGACATGCATGCACATATAAAAATAAACTAATTCACAGAGAAAAAGCGATTGGTATTAAGATGTAGCTACCTGTTTAAGTCAGGTAGCCCTCGAATGAAGCAGTTCAGAGGGAGATGAGCCACAGTGGATTTCCTCACCAACCCATATCATCATAATATACAAGATACAGTGCTACAAAAACCATGGAGGAAAAGTACTCTGCATATGCTCAGATGTGCACTCATCAGAGCTGTGTTCTGGCTGAAGCTGAGTGATAGTCCTATTTTCTGTCTTTCATCCAACCTCTTTGCTGTCATGCTCTCTCTCCATATCATGGCCCTTTGGAAAAGTGTGGAAAAAGGGAAGATGCTGCAATGTCATTGGTGATCATCAGGAATTGTGCTTGCAGTGGCTTCATAAGAGCAAGGTTTTGTTCCCAGTCCTCTTTACTCACAGTGAAGGTGTACAGTGGAGCATTTGTCAGAAACCCTCACTCCTACAGTAATGACTCCAGCATATGTATTGAGCAGTGGGAATACTATTACTGGCTTTGTATTGCGACTAATTTGATCATAACACTGGGTCTCCAGCTTGGAATGCTTCCAAAAGAAGGAACACAGTCTGAACAATCCACAACTTAAACCACAAGCTACAATGTGTCATTTGTTTCCTTTAAAAGAGTTGGACAACAATTAATTTATTATTTCATTAAAATATTTCTTTGCCAAAACAAGAGCCCTCCCAAGGTGGCATAGAAAAATAAGATATATAATAGAAACCAGTGTGGTATTAAATATGGTAAAAATAGCATAGCTAGATGCAGACAGCATGATAATACAGTAACACAATGTGGGTTGCTGTGAAAATGTGTGTTGTCTGGACAACCCATGAAGAGAACCCATGGTTTGTTGTTGAGCTGTGAACTGTGGGTTGCTTACTATAGTTTATTATCTGAAGTTCAGATAATAAAATGACAACCCATGTTTTGACAGTGACAACTATTCGGAAAATTCAGATAAATCCTGGCAGAAAAGGGTTGCTTATGTGCTTTTGTGTTATAAAGATGCCTGCGCCCCTTTCTCAGAAAGCACCCAAAATTCCAAGCCAGGTCACCGTTTAGCATTTGCTGTTACTTTAAGAAGTGGGACCTGATGGCTTTCCCAAGAAGCTTCTGGGGCTATTGTTTTTGCTAATCAGTAAGGGCTGATAAGGCAGCCAGGTTACCAGCATTGCAATCACCCTCATTTGCATGCCAAGACCCACAGTAATCCCTGTGCCTCAGTGATCCTTATGTTAATATACTGCAATCAATTGCCATTGTATTGAGCCCCTCTGTAGACCTCTCACCTTCTGTAATCACCTTATTTCATCATCAAGTACCCAGCTGCTAGGCCCATGTGACTCAGAATCAATAAAACATTCTGCATACACCCTAAAACAGGGTCCTCAAACTTTTTCAACAGGGGCCAGTTGACAGGTGCCAGCGGTGCGTGTGGGCCACCAAGGCGGTGTCAGTGGAGAGGAGCAGGCCAGGGAGGGGTTAGGGTGTGCGTGCACACGAGATGAGGTGGGGACAGGGAGGGCGCATGGGGCGAGGCACTGGCTTGCTCGCGAGGAGATTGTTTTCTCCAAGCAAGTCCAAAACAACCTCCTCGTGAGCAAGCTGCACCCACACACGTGCACAGCGAGATCAAAACCTCTGGGGCAGGCTGGTTAAATGGGCATGGCGGGCCAGATCCAGCCCATGGGCCTTAGTTTGAGGACCCATGCCCTAAAAGCTTGTAGTTGATGGTGGAGACCACAACCTGGTAGCATGCTGTCAGAAATAACTCCAGGGGGCCTGGGTGATCTCACCAATAAAAATGTTGGGGCTCAAGGCAATTCAATCTTCCCTGTGGTCCCTGGTAATTCATTCTCTAGTAAAGAGACTCTGGCACAACCCATGCTCAGCCCTCACTGTGTGGTCTGCATCCTGTCAAGAAAAAGCACCGAAACACATAAGAATGTCAGCGCAGCAAACCGCCCAACAATAGTATGTCCAAGCCCTAGAATTTCCCAGATGCTTTTCTACGTAAGGGCTGGTTCATGCACGCACGCTCCTAAGTGGACGACTGCCACTTGCAAGCCTGAGTGCACTATCACAGATACCCTCTCAAATGCAATGTTCATTTGAGTCCCCTCACATCTTCAGCCACTAGCAGTCACAGCCCAGTTTGTATGATTTATAGTCCACACTTGATCATCCATAAAGCAAATGTGGGCAATCAGCAGATGAATGCTTGTCTGGGCTGAATATGCAGGCTCTTTGGGGCAGGAAGTGCATGTTCACCCAATCATGGCGGCTAGAAAGAGCAGCTACGGTTGGCCAAATAGTGGTGGGATGGCAGAGGCCTGTGCAAGGCCCTTACAGGGAGGCAATCAGAACCTTCACCCAAAGATCCTGTGATGGCTGCCACAAGTGATACACACAGTGTACATCCTGTATGAGTGAAATACATACAGGAAAGCTGGTATACCAGAAGAAAGGTGTGAGTTTCCAGCTATTTAGTATTATTTATATCCCTCCTGTTCCCAGTGATTAGGTCTCAAGGTGGTTCACAACATTAACATTCATACAATTAAAACATTTAAAACATATAAAAAGTTAAACATAGAAGTAAATTAGTAAAATATTAAAATTGAACAAAAGTTCAAATCAAACAATACGATTATTAAAATTAATGCAGGCCATGCTTACAGGCCATTCCCAAATGCCTGATGGAACAAAAAGTGTTTTGCTTGCTTTTGGAAAACCAACAAGGAAGGAGCCAAATAATAAGCATTAGACACTTTTTACTTTTCCTCCCAAAATGTTAGGGTCCTTTCCTTTCCCTAGCTCTCACTTTTACATTTTTCTCATTTTACTCCTATCAAACTCAGCACATTCTGTGTTTTCTGGAGTTGCATAACCTGATCCCTCAAGAAAGACCACATGGGTTGTAATCCAATCAATACATTTCCTGTTTAAATCTTCCTACACCTTTAAACCAGACACTGTACTCTAGTGAATTAATGTTATCCTGCATCTTTTTCATTGTTGTGCTTTTAGC